ATATATATATATATATATATATATATATATATATATATATATATATATATATATATATATATATATATATATATATATATATATATATATATATATATATCATGGTTGTAATTTGCACCTAGTAGATTAAAAGCTTAACTAATTTATTTATTAACAAATCTTGTGTCTTAGTGTAACCTTATGAGAATCATCTTACCAATTGAGTGCACAAATTGCAAAAATTTAGACCGTAGGTGGAGAAATGCCCCATCACTGGCTTGTTTTGGAGAATTCTTGCTGATTCTTGGTGGCCATTTTCATATTTGTGGAAATAAGTTTATTATGCAGTTCCAGTGAAAAATGTTTTTGGTTGTGTATGAGCCACTAGACATACTAACAATCAACAATGCTATTACATTGATTGTTGTATGGATTTGCAACTATCAACAGCATTGAAATAAGGTGGTTTGATAGAGATCAAACCACCAATAGCCAATTGTCGCAAGGCTATACAAAACTTTATTGGAGTATAGCTAGATGGTGAGCCGTTTAAATAACTTTTCTTGCAGGACTCTTGGCTTTGATAAAACTCATGTTTCACACCAATGTTTTTGAGAGGTTTGCTGGAGAGGCCAGGCTAAAATGGTAGAGCTACTGGCTAATGAACTTCAAGTGTAGGACATAAAGTTCTTCGAGGATATTCTAAGAACATTCTGCTAATTGCAAGCCTCTGCAACGAGTATATTCTGTCAAACAGAACACGAGCCCTAATTCTCTGGAGGGCACGCGATGGGGCTCGCGAAGACGCTGCTTGGGCCGACTTTCAACTATTTTGCCAGGCGCTACAAGGCCAATGTGGAGAAGGAGCTCAGGAAATTCGGTAAGCGCCTAGAAAATCGAAACCCTTGTCAAGGAATGGCGGCTGTGTTCTTCAGCTTTTCCTTTTTTCTTTTCGGTTCTTAGTTGTGCTCCTGCTTCTAGGGCTGAGATACGATGACCTGCTGGATCCAATGGGGGATCCAGACCTGGAGGAGGCATTGAGCCGCCTCCCACAGCACGAGCTGGACTTTCGAAACCAGCGCCTCAAGCGCGCCATGGACCTCTCGATGAAGCACACCCACCTCTCCAAGGAAATGCAGGTATTCTCGAAGAAAAAAAAGGATTTTTTTCGAGGAGCCGAAGCTTAGCTCTCTTTCTTTGTTTCTTTCAGGCGAAGCAAACTCCATTCCTGCCATACGTGCAGGATCAGCTCCAACAGGTATTCTTCCTTTCCTTGTTTTTATATGCGTCGAAAAGCTCCTTGTTTTCTCGTTTTCGTTTTGTTTGTTCTATCTTCCTTTTTATTTTTCTTTCCTTTGGAAACACAGATATCCTTTCTCTCCTTGAGCTCTTGGAATTGTTTTCTCGTTATCGTTCTAGCTGTTTGTTCTAACTTCCTTTTTCTTTTCTTTTTTCCTTGGAAACACAGGTGAGAGCCGAGCGCAAGGAACGCGAAGCCTTGGGATCCGACGTTCCATACACTCGCGCGATCTAGTCCTCTGGGCATCGACAAGAAGAAAAGGATCAAAGCACTCGTACTGTTTTGGACAAATAATGTGTGTTTCTTTCGACATACCGAGGAGGTAACATTCAAGCAAAGTTCGATCTAATGTATTCCCGGTCTTGCTCAAAAGCCTGGCTCGTATAGCTCGCAGTAGAGTGGGCCTTTTGGAATCGAATCGTGCCACCACTGCCCACTGCTAAGTGCTGCGACGAGTGCTCGAAGATAAGCTCGAAAGCAAGCTCGACGACAAAGATCTCGCGAGACAAAGAAGCGTCCTTAAACAAAAGCTCTCTCTCGATCGAGCGTAACGGGCCAGGCGAGAGAATCAAAAGTTGCGAGGCCGGCTCGATCCAGACAGATGGTTCTCCTTGTTTGCAGCACAAGCACGCACTGCTTCCCTCCATTGTTTCGTGGAGCGTGCAGTGCAAATTCGCTGCCAGCCATAGCCATAGCGACGAGAGCAAAGCAAGAACAAAAAAGAAAGCGAAGAAAAGTTGCGAAGTTGACGCATGGATTTGTCACCAAGCTCTCGGCAGCCAAATGTTTGGAAGTTTCTTCCCCGAAGTTTTTCGTGTCTCGGGGCTTGGAAAAAAAATAAGTTTTCTAAGTGTGGGAAGGTTCTCTCGTATCGTGGCATTCTTTTAGCATTTTATTCTTCGTGCTTAGGAACAGTACTGTGGACCTAGTGTGGCCGCCACGCGCCTTTGGGCCCACTAGGCCACGTGGAGCCTTCACCGCCTTTGGATGCCAGTGCCCGGCACACGCCCTGGACCACATCCGTGCCGCCACGCCAGCCCTATTCTGGGGTTTATATAGTGACACGCATTCGTTGTGGTATTCCTTGCTCACTTTTCTCGCGGTCTCTCTATTTCTCTTTCTCTTCATCGAGTGATCGATCCATCGATCGATCGCTAGGGCAGATCGATGGCGCCGAATGTTACCAGTCCAGCCGTGGACGGCGCCCTGGAGGCGGGGCTTTTGGATCGCGATGACAAGCACAGGCTGAGGGATCACGGCGGCGATGGTGATTCCAGCTCCGATGGCGGCGAGCATGTGGAGCGGCACTTCATGGCCGGGGAGATCGTCCGCGACGCGGTGATGGGCGCGTCGGATGGATTGACGGTGCCTTTCGCGCTGGCGGCTGGATTATCGGGCGCCAGCGTCCCGTCGCTCGTTGTCGTCACGGCGGGGCTCGCGGAGGTCGCGGCTGGAGCGATCGCCATGGGATTGGGGGGGTATGATCGATCGAAATACTTTTTCTTTTCCTTGGATTCTATGGAGCTAATGTTTTCTTGCTCTTCTTCTTTGTCGCAGGTACTTGGCTGCCAAGAGCGAGGCCGATCACTATGAGAAAGAGAGAAAAAGGGAAGAGGAAGAGATCGAGCGCTCTCCTGAGACAGGTATTCTATTCTATACCCTTTTCCTTCTGTATAGACCTTGACACAGATTGCTCGCTTTTGCTTTTCTCTTCTGGTTTTTCCAGAAGCCGAAGAAGTTGCGGAGATTCTAGCAAATTTTGGTCTCATGCAAAGCGAATACGAGCCAGTCGTGGCAGCGCTGAGGAAGCGCCGGGACGCATGGGTGGATTTTATGATGAGGTACTCAGCGATCTCTTCCTCTCTTTTCTTGTTGCTTTCTCTCTTCCAAGTTCCAGCCAGAGCAGTCCTGTTGATCTTCCCAGCAACTAGAACTTCAGTTAGCTCCACAAATCTCCTCTAGATTACTCATTCCTCCATAGCAATAGCGATCCCTCCTGATTCCCTACCATTCCATCCTCTCCAGAAACCAACAGCAACTAGATTGCCTGATCCCATTCTTCCAAGTTCATGCACAACTTTACCTCTGTGCGTAGATTCGAGCTGGGATTGGAGAGGCCGGAGCCAGGCAGAGCCATGAGGAGCGCGGCGACCATCTCGCTGGCGTACGTGGTGGGAGGGATGATCCCGCTCCTCCCTTACATGCTACTCTCGGAAGTGTTTATGGCACTCAAGGTATCCGTGGGCGTGACGCTGCTGGCGCTGTTCGTGTTTGGCTACGTCAAGGGGCTCTTCACGGGGTCGAGGCCTTTTCGCAGTGCGCTGCAAACGACGTGTATAGGTGCGCTCGCCTCCGCCGCTGCTTTCCTCATTGCTCGGGCCGTGAGCAAGTAGACCAGGTGCTCGGTAGTCACTGGTAATGGAAGTAACACGTAGATTTCTGTCTGCCTTTTCCAAGCTGATTCGAGTCAGATTTTTCTCAAACCTCAAAAGAGCTAATCACGCTGGAAATGTGAATTGCTTAGACCATTCTCAACCTTTTACAATAGTCTTTTTAAAAAACAATGAGAGAACTTTTAAGGGTGGTTATAGGAATTCTCTCTCTCTCTCTCTCTCTCTCTCTCTCTCTCTCTCTCTCTCTCTCTCTCTCTCTCTGTCTATTTGATAAAGCTAATGAATTAGACATTAATTAACTTTGAAGGCCATGGCACTATACAAAACCAATTATTTTTAATAATCAATCACAAACTAGGGATCTGGTTGTAACTCATTATCTAAACTTTGAAGACAAGTTTAGGTTTGTCCATCTGCAGATAGCGCTGCTCCTACAGAGAGCGTTAGGTTCTACTACGAGCGGAATAGAATCCAGGACAGCAGTGGCAAGATGATGCGCTGAGAGCCTCGCGGTGACAACGTCCCCAAGTTGCTGTGCGCCGTCTCCCAAGACCATCGCCTTGTGGTCGCTCGCACCACAAAGCTTAGAAGGGAATCCCTTTGTCAACCGGTGGGAGGAGATCCCCTACTTGGACATGGGGGACTCCTTCTCTTCTCGAGGGTGTTCCTCTTGGCCACTGGCGAGCAGGAGTTCAAGGTTGTAGTGTGGTTTGTGAAGGGCAACGTCTACACCTTCATTCGCGGCCAGGCGGAATGGTGTCAAGCCAACTGCGTTGACTGTGACTTGTGCAGCGCGCCCGGCTTGTTTGGATTTAAAGTATCGCAGGTATGTTGAATTTGATGTGGCAAGCAACACGATCACGTACAACGATCTCGGTCTCTATCTCTCGGACCGTCAGCCCGTCCGCCTGGCGAGCTGGAGGGGAAAGCTCTACGTGGTGTTGATGGATAGCAAATGCAATATGTTTGTGGTTAAGGAGATTTGTGCCGAGACGGGTGAGGAGATTGCGGTGGTGAGAGATTTGCCATTGTATCTCAAGTTTGCTGGTCAAGCGCGTAACCTGTTGAATTTTTATGGAATTATGTTGCACAAGTTGGAATATTACGAATTTCATATGATTTAGATACAGGTAGGTGGGCATGTAATACACCTCTTATCTGTTGCTATGAAAAAATTTGCTGCTTGGTTTTCTTTATTTAGTATTTTCGAATAATCCAGTTGATCAATAATTATAAACATGTTTATAATTTGTAAATCAAGATTAATAACCATAGATTAAACAAGAATATACTAAGAAGTGTTTAGGAAAGTTTAGAAATTATAAATACAAGATTCATCCCAAATATATTTTAGTTAAGTAAACCAATAATCCTTTCAAGTGGTTAACTTTCTACTTGAGATAATCTTTAAAGTACTGTAATTTAAGTTTACAAGGAGAAACAGAGAAAAGAAAATGATTAATATACACAAAATCCCCATTCAAAGTAAACCAAGGAGAGGAGTAAAACGGGAAAACAAAGCCACAAAGCCGTGTGTGGGAGAATATAAGAAAAAAAATGCCTCTCTCTCTCTTGCTCTCAATCACTTACTTTTGAGATTTCTCGTTGTTATTGTTGCTGCTTGGCAGAAGACAATGACTGCCTCTGTAGCTGCTGCTGCTGCTGCTGCTGTGGCGATGGAGTCACAAGCTCGCCATTGATGGAGCCCCGGAGCGCCGGGACTCTGACCGCAAGCGTCTTGTACAGCCTTGCGTACCTTGCTCGCGTTCCATCGGCAGTCCGCGCGAGAGCTAGCTGACACAGGGCCTCTGGAAGCGGCGACAGCACCTCTCGCATCTCGTCCAGTGACAGCCCCGCCAGTGCCGCTGGAACCGGGACGGGAGCCACGGTCTCTCGCCCCGACTTGTCACCCAGGCTTGCCTGCGCTCGCACCACCAGCTCCAGCGATGGCGTAGCGCCGCACTTGATCACGAACGGCGTCGCCGTGCCGTTGTTGAACTGGAGAACGCTCCACTGCTGGACTCCCAGGTCGGAGGTGGCGTCACCCCAGTCGGATGACGAGGAGAGCTCCCCGGGGACTGGGATCTCGTCCGAGGATAGCCGGCTTCTCGAGTGGTTCGCCATTGTATCCGGTTGTTCTTCCACCGACTGGAAAGCGTTGTCAAGCTCAGCGCAAGGAAAGAAACAAAGTTTACGTACCTCCACCGCTTTCTTCATCTCCATGAGATGCCTCTGGGCGCAGCCTTGGTCGATGGCCAGCAGTGACGACATCCTGCCGTAGAGCTCGCTCACACGCGCCGACAGAGCTCGCTTTCTCGTTGCCGTGATGCTTTTGTGCGAGACTTCGCTTAAAATGTCCTGCAGTGACGAGTTTAGCGTTGAAAAGTATGGTCAAACGGATATTAAGAGATACGAACCTGAGCACTTCGCACGATCTCTTCGATTGATATCAGCGACGCCAGGCGCGCGTCTTCGGTAGCTGTAGGAGGATTTCGCAGCGGCGATCCACCTTCTTCCTTAGTCAACAGTGCAACGTCAGTGCGCATGCTCTGCAAGATCTGCATAGCTCAAAGAACACTTAGAAGCTGCAAACTCTAAACTATATAATACCCTTCGACGTTTATGTTCCACAGACTCCAAGGCAGATCTCAACTTTGAAATTTGAGAAAGATCGTCTGCATCTTCTGTCGCTAGCGTAGCTGCAACGTCCTGAAACCAAGGAATCTCAGTAGTGCAAACAAACATGCAAAGTTTTTTGAGCCACACCTTGAGATGTTGCAATTGAGAGGTATAAACACGTTTTGTGTAATCTGAAAGGAGCTGACCAAGTGCGTCCGTGCTGGTCCCAGAAGGCATGCCCAGACCAGCCATCCAGCCGTCCATAATTGCAGTGGAAAGAAGCTCCAAGTGCCCGGCACCACCTCCATTGCTTTCGCCTCCAGTCAAAGACAAAAAGTCGAAGTTCTCGGCTAGCCATGCCCGTATTTGTCTTTGCAGCTCCCCAGCAGGTGTATGTACAAATAAAGCTGCCAACATCTTATTGCTCACAGCATATTGTCTTGCGTCTTCAGTCATTTCTCGTAACTTAGCTCCAGTGATATGTTGTTTCCACGTCTCCTGCTCAAGAAAAACCAAATTAGAAAGAAAGAAAGAAAGAAAGAAAAAGGCCGTGTTGCTACGTACCTGATCAATTCCTCTGAGCTTCAATACGATAGAAGAGAATTTTGACTTTCTTTCTTGCTTCAGTTGAACTTTAAAAGTTGGAATGTCCTCGTAAAAATCTTTCCGCGAGTTTGAATCCTGCCAAATCGGAGATCTAGCAGGGCTGCTCCCTCTACTCGGTCCTCTGCTACGCGACGCACCGGCCCGCTCTAAGAACCGCTCCACAGGTGGCATCTACATCCACCGAGAAATACAATCAGCATAACCGCAAAGAGATTGGAATTTGTACGTACTTTGATAGCTTGGAGATCTGATGAACGAGATAGAAGAGAACGAATGTAAAGGATCCGGACGCGCGAAACTAGCATGGTGTCCATAACCTTCAAAGGCTCCATTTTTCTGATAAAAGAGAAGACAGCACCACGAATTTCGGCTAGCATTTCGTGCTCCCTTGCTGCGCCTGCCTTGATGACGGCAGCTAAAACCTGGTAGAGAAACAAAACACCAGTTAACGCGCTGTAAATGCTCGAAAGATAACGTGTACCAGCATAAGAAGCTTATTCGCTCCATCAGCAATGGCTGCCGGACCCTCGTATTGATCTGGATTAAAGTCCTCCAGAGCGGAGGTAAGGTACTCCCCAGCCGGTGTAGTCTTCACTTTCTCCGTACTTTTCAAGAGAGCAACTGTTCCCGGAGTTACAGACCCACTTTCAGTTTTCTTCCCGCTTCTGTGACACACAGAAAGTGTTGAGAAAAAGTAATGAGCAGACCGTCATAAGCGTACCTAGCCGGTTCATCTAAATCGTAGCCGTCTACTTCTTTATTCTCTGGCGGAGGAGGAACCTGCAAACAGGGCTGAGAGAAGTTCTGCAAAAGGAAATAAAAAGCTTGCCTTCGGAGAATTTACACTTTTGTCGGTCAAACGTTCAAACAGCTTCTCATTTTCTTGGTGCAGACGCTGCACGAAAATGCATGAGAATACTAGAAAAAAACAAGAGAAATACCCACACCTCTATGAGCTCGTCCCGTTTTGAAAGCTCTTCCTCGAGCTTCAGTTTGACGGCAATAACAGTCTCAGTTTCTTCTTTCTTGAAAGAGTCCTGTCTTGGATTTTTAAATATGTTACCATCAACACTCCTGCGTGGAACTTGCTGCTGCAATTCTTTGATCTTTGCCTGCAGAAACATATCAGTGAAAGTTCTGCATAGCACCATTTGTTACATACCTCAAGTACTTGGATCTGCTCTCCACGATCAAGGAGTTCGATTCTTTGATCTTGCTCAATTTTTGACAGCTGCGCCACTTGAGAGCTAAGCTGACTGTTTCTTTCTTTCTCAAGACGATACTTTTCTCCATACTCGCTACTTTCTACCTGAACTCGAATATAAGATTTTCTTTGTCGAGCGAATAATGGAGAACTCTACCTTAAGCTTACTGATGTGAGCTTGTTGCACGCCAAGTTCAGCCTGAAGGTCAAAAGCTACTTTCCAAGCCTTCTGTACTTCGTTGAAAAGCAGCAGACATTGATCATCCGAATCTTTCATGGACTTCTTCGTTCTCATGATTTCTTGTTGCAAATCAGAGACTAGTTTCTCCTTTTCGTAGGATTCTTTTCTGGCATCATTTGCCTGCCGAAAAAATTTTCAGAAAGACAATGGAAGGATTGTGCACATGCCGTACCAGATCTCGCCATTTCTTTATGGTGTCACGATTTCCAATAGTTAACTCAACATTACGTGCACGAGTAGCAAAATTGAGAGATGACACCGTTTCCTGAACATTGTTGTAACTTGGACAAAGGTTTATAATCACCAGTGTTTTCGCCTCACCACCTGTACTCAAAGTCAATGAATGCTTCAGTAGCAAAAACAACGTACCCAAGGCATCGGAAAAGATCTCAGTCAACTTTGAATTGCTGTAGGGAACATTCTCCTTCTTCGCAGTTAGAGCGGAAACAACATCTCCCAATCTGCAAACTAATACTCGTCGGACATGTACTTAGCAAACAAGTTTTACTCACGCAGAAAGAGCTTTGTTAACGTGTAGTGACTCTGTCAGTCGGTTCCCGCGGGCTTCAGAGTCCGATAGCCTTTCGCTTCCCGCCATATCCACCATAGACAGCTTACTATACTGCTTTTCGCCGGAAACTGTATTCGAATAATGGATATGAACAGTGACAATCCTGAAAAGCACCCGAATCAAATATGTCAATGTAAAAGAACCAGCTTACAAGTGAGATCTGTTCACTCTTTCCGACTTCAAGGCCTCTACACGACTCTGATTGCCCATTCTGAAGACACGAGCAAAGTCGGCGGGATTGTCGACTCGTTGTTGGGCAAGAGATACAGTCCCCATTTGCACCACTCCTGCCGACACTCCATTGCCTAGAAGATCTCGAACCTAGTTCACAAAGTTAAGAACACGAGCCAGTGATTGCATGAGACTATTTGTACCTGTTCGTTATGAAGTTCGAACATGGTAACAAAAAAGAGATACTTAGAGGTTGAGGTCGAATCCGTTATAGAGAGATCGAACAGCTCCTCAAATGCTCTAAAATAAAGACCACGGTCATGGCTCGGCCCTTCCTGTAAAAAGACACATGGTAAGCCTTAACAAAAACCGGAACTTTAGTTTACCATAGTGTGTGTCTTCCCTGCTCCGGTTTGCCCGTAAGCAAACATACAGACATTATAGCCATCCAAAGCAGACTGCACTAAAGGCTGGACATCTTGAAAAATGCTCGCTGGAGTAAAAACAATAGTGAGTTCAATCTAATACCGACTAACGACCATACGTTACCTTGACCAACATGAGGACCATAAACGCGATCAAACTCAAACTCCTTCCGGCCAGGGCTCACTCCGACATTCCCAGCGGATGTCAGGCTTACGCGAATCGTGTAGTCATCAGGAAAAGACACTGCCATTGGCCCTTCATCCTCAAACTGAGGTCTCACTCGAACGAAGACGCGAATATTTCCTGGAACCACAGTGCTCTCATTCGAACGTCACACAACTCGAAATTCTCTATACCTTTGATAGTAAGCAGCTCGTTGAAAAGTTTCTTTCGCTCTTTCTTCAACGGGGCTTGTCGATCTTCGGAGTCCAACGCAACCTCATCTTCAGTACGAGGAAACAAAGAATTACATAGAATTGCGGAGAGAATCGAAGTAGAAGAATCTTACCTAGCTTTCGAGCCTTTTCAGCAAGAACACCCAGATAACGCGTCACCCTTCCAAGCTTTGCATTAGAATACTCTTGCAAATCACTCGCCTCCTGTCTTAGTTCCAAACATTCATCACGAGCGCTCTGGAAACACAAGAAAAATTCAAGAAATTGGAGCAAGAGATAGAAAAGAATAAACATACTGTCACGCGCTCCTTGAGCCTGGAAACTCGATTTGCCAGCGCCTTCTTCGCCGAGTCTGGCGAGATACTCTTAGTAACGCTCATCCTCCTGCTGCTGGGTAGAGGACTTTTCACTACTGGCGGCTCCTCCTCGGCCACATCCCCAAGCTCGGCATCAGCATTCTTCCTCGACTCGTAAGTGGGAAGACCCCAGCTCCAAGAAGGACGCACCGCCGAATCCCCCATTACTGCCCTACCCGATAGCAAAATCCAAGCTGCGACCTCTACATTGCTACAAGGCTCGATCGGGAAGGACGAAATACCGGATTACTGCGAAGGAAACAGCTGCCGCTTCCAAGATCCGAGCTACGATCCATCCTGTGAGTCAAATTCATCCGCCGCTGCCTGCGATCGAATGCTCCAGCTCAAAATCCCACAAGAATCGCATCAACAGGGAGAATTCTCCCCCCAAGAAAGAAGACCTGGAGAACAAGAACCCTAAAACTTATTCACCCCTGTATAGAAACGTAAGATTCCCTCGCGCCTTTCACAATATCCATTCCGCCACAGCAGCGCTCCCTCCGCCAATGCCCAGATCGCAGTCGTCCATGTTGCCCCATCCACGGCCGCGGGCGCGCCAGCACGAGCGCAAGATCTCGGGCGAATCCAGGCCGTTGATCCGCTCGCCCATTCCGCAAGGATCCGTTGGCCGCGCAGTCCCCATTACAGCCCATCCCCACCGTCCACTCGCGACAAAAGCTTTCCATCATTGTATTGCTCGCTTGTATCATACTGCATGGACGGCAATGATGCGTCGTAGCTCCGACGCTACACTAGGTGAAGGCTTTGCGAGCCCTTGAAGGAACAACGAAAGTAAAAAACAAAACAAAATATATCGGATATTCGACCGATACTGCCACGTGTCAGGCAGTTGCGAAGGATGATGGCGCGCGTGACTGCGGCGCATCCATACATGTCCTATCTATTCACGTTGTTTGCGATCCCAAGGATGAGGCTCACAGCCACACTACGTCATGGAATACGGACAGCCACAACTTAAGTTCCTCCAATATTTAGGGCAAAGTAGAACCCTAAACCCTGACAAGCAATCAAATGCAAGCCAACAAAAGCAAGGCTTGGAAGGAACAAAATGGAGCTTTCGGTTTTATTGCACGAATTTTGTCTAGGCTGCAAAGCTGAATCACTATTCCTTTGTTAATTTCAATCACTATATCAAGTTTCAATCACTCTTTTTTCAATCACTATTTCAAGTTTTCTCTTTTTAAATCACTTGATTCAATTTCTTTGTGAGGTTTTCTCATTTTTCAATAACTATTTCAAGTAGTCTGTTAACAACTAGTCAGCGACCTCGATGACCCGCCAGGGGATCTAGTGTTTGCTCTCACTGGGGATGAACTTTTGTGGTGATTCTTAGTTTATGTAAGGTACACTAATGAACTTGTACTATGTTTACAATTTCTTGGACTGAAACACCATAATGAAGCATACTGCAAATGACATTTCAGTCAATCTTGGCCTACACAGCACAACGTGCAGTTCTCACAAATTTTAAGACTAAAAAACAATTCTAGCACACTCACCTAAAGGGGCTGGGACATGGCCCAGCCACATGCACACCTGAAATTGTCACCGCATATGGTTCAGCCACCTTCTGGTCGCCACAGATCCACAGGCCACTTCACAAGGACAAACTCATATAAATTCATCTTATTAAGTTGATTAGTCATCAATTGATCAATCAACTCCTGAATTGATCAAACAAATCCTGAATTTATCAATCAACTCAGCATGAATTGATATGAATTGATCAATTTATGAATCAATCAAATTATTAATAAAATAAAATGGTTAATTATGAAGCACACTTTGTCCACCGTACAGAGGGTTTGTGGACAATGTTGAATTCAGGAGTGATCACTTTTCCACCTTATATTTCTTCAACCATGCGTCTTCGATGCGTTGCCCACATTTGACCGATGCAATAAAATTAGAGGCACCATCATTTATTTCTCTCTCTAGATTTTGGCTTTGTTTGTGGCCCTCCACAAAGTTTGGCCCCGGAGTACCTCAGAGCCACGGTCTTGCAGTAGCAAACGGTGTACGAACTCCACACCGGTTGGGGTTTGGCTCTTGAGACGGCACAGAGACCGTACAGGTTGTGCTTCGCGACACTCCCGCTTGAATTCGAGGGTCACTCGCGCAAGTTCATGGCTCTTTAGTACGGACGGTGGAACAGCCTAAGAATCAAAGGTTACAAGAGTTCAAAGAAACATTTGATGCATTGTAAGACCTCTAAAAGCCAACGAAAGTATCTCGAGTTGTTCACGTGTTGATTCATGTCTAAATCATTGTGGTGTGCCTGCAAATATTCTCGCAAAATTTGATTTCAAACATGTTTTTCAGAAAACTAGAGCTTACTCTCAGGTCAGATCGAACGTATTCAGCTTGGCTTGCAACGATTTCTTCTATGTCGTCTAAAGGATCGCCATCTTCTCCGAGAGCTCGAGACTCTTCGTTAAAGAAGGGCATGATCTCGTTCCATACCTCGTAGGGAATCTTGGAGAACCTCCTTGTTTCGGTGTTGATCATCAGCCAAGTGCTAAAGCATCCTTGTTTAAATTATTTCACTAATATGAAAAGAGAAAAGATTACCTCGTTGCCCGGGCCAAAATTGAGCGAGTGTTTTGATCTTTGATCAGCCAATCTCCGTGCATGCCAAGCCTGTCACCCAAAGCTCTCGTCCAGGTTTCGATCTCCACGATATCATTCCTATTAAATCAAAGCCATGAATTCATATAGTTTAAAGAACTTTGCTTACCAAGATGGATAAGTATCGATTTTGAGATGGATAAACGCTACTACCCAGGTTACACTATTCCTCCTCATGCTCGGGCTCGTCCAAATTCCATCCTTGCTAAATCCGTCAGTCCTGGACATATGATTTACTGCAAACTCCTGTAGAAAAAAAGGAAATTTCGAAACCAAAGTTTCGCTATGATCCCAAAGTTTCTTTGCAAGTGTTATATATGATCACCACTTACTTGAAGTAAGCTCATCATAGTCTCCACTGTGGCAGTCTTGTTAGCCCCAACTTCGTAGGATCGAATTGTAAAGCATTGCTTCTTCGTCCTCGAAGGAGATCTATCTTTGAGAGAAGAAGCCAATGCTGATAATACCTTGAGTGCCCTGTTCAAGCCCTTGGATGTGATAGAGTTCTTCACACTAGAGATTTCCTCTGGAGTGGAAGAAGCCATTGGACAATCAGCCCAAGAACTTTAATGGACAATAAAACCCTAATTCTAGTATACAAGGGTAAAAAAGTATTAGTTAAAATCATCCAAGGGTTAAAAGCTACAGTTAAAATTTCCTCCATTTTTAGGGCTCTTGCGGGCGATGGCGGAGGGCGGCGACGGTGAGCTCGGCAGCGAGCAGGCTGTGGCATCGCGGTGGAGCTTCATGAGGTCAGAGCTGAACCAGCTCCACTCCAAGGTCACGGAGATGGAGCTGGAGCTGAGCGAGCATGCCCTAGTGATCGGCGCCATCAAGCCGCTGGATCCGGCCAGGAAGTGCTTCCGGCTGATCGGCGGCGTCCTGGTGGAGCGCACGGTGGGCGAGGTCCTGCCGGCCGTGCAGAGGAACAGGGAGGGGCTGGAGGACATGATCAAGCGCCTGGCGGAGGCGCTGGAGAGGAAGAAGCGAGAAATCGCTGAGTTTGAGGCCAAGTATAAGATCAAGATCAGGAGGGCGGATGAAGTAGCGGACGAAGAACAGGCCAAGAATCAAAATGCCGTCGCTGGTGCTGCCGCGCAGGGTGTCTTGGTGGGTTCTTCTTCCTCGTAGTTCTTCCTCAAGTTCTTTCTTCTTCATCATAGTTCTTCCTCATAGTTTTCTTTCTCTCGAGTTCTTCTAGCTGATAGACTCTGGTCTAGTTTCTTCTACTTAGAGACGGAGGGAGGGATTGCTTATCTTTCTTTAGGAGGAGGAGTTCTCGTAGAGGTCAGGATGTCCAGACGCTGCTACTTTCGATCAAGTCCCTGCTATAGTGGTGGTGATCATCGGGTGTTTGCAACGCTACTGCCTTGTAGAGGTGGTGCTGTTCTTGGAGAGAAGAGGCGGTGGTGGAAGGCTGGAGTTGGAAAGGTTCTCGATGTTGGTGCTGGAATTTGAGCAAGACCATCTCCGACTGGGCCGCCGAGAGTTGCTTCCGGAGCTGGGCGATCTGCTGCTGCAAGGTGAAGATCGCTCCCAGGCAGCCGTAGACGGGGTCGCGGATTCTCGCGTTGGCCTCGTAGACGATGCTCGCCACCGCGTCCCGCCGCCGCTCCACGGGAAGTTCCTTGGGAGGGAGAGAAAGATCAAGAGGTAGAAAGCGGAAAAAACTCTTCTTTTTTTTCGATCGAATTCTCGTTCTTACCTGTAGCATCTTGCTCACATTGCTAGCGCCGAAGATCTTGTGGACTTGCGCGAACTTTTGCGGCTCGCTCGAGGAGAAGTAAGGCGCAAAGACGCACTCTCTGGTGCATTTGCGCCGCAAGAGCTTACACGCGGCGCAGGGGGACGAAGAAGAGGAGCGCGGAGGCGAGGAAGAGGATGAGGATCCCGGCGGCTTCGCCGCCGCCGCTCGCGATTGGTGGTGGAGCTCCAGCGCTGCGAATTGCCAAGAAAGAATTCGAGAGATTGGATCGATTTTTCGATCGCTTCCCCGGATTGATTGAAGAGGGAGCCAAAGTGAAAAGTCAAAACCTTGCGCGATCATGAGGCCCCGTTGACTAAATGTACTTCAACGGAGGAGAATCGCGGGGAATATGCTTCTAGAGCTGACAGTTATTTAACTTTCGCGGGGATGAGCAGCGAAGGCGACAATGAGATTGACAACGCAAATGCGAGCGAAGGTAAAACTTTCTTTGGCTTTTTCCTGGCTGCGTTTGATCGAACGATCGCTTTGAGCTGGAGTGGATCTTGGGTTCTTTTTTTTTTTTTTGCTCTTCGTATGTATATTCCAGCTGATCTTGTGTCGATTGTTTTGGATGTTTCTTCGTTGCAGAGAATGAAGAGGAGAGCGATGATGATTTCAACTACGAAGAGGAGTTGGAATTCGATAGCGGCTCCGAGCCTGACGAGACGCAGTCGGAGGATTTGGATGCTACGCTCAGATCGCTCGAGAAGCTGTCTTACATGCTTGGTACGGACAAACCCTTCCTTTTGTGTTTTCTTTCTGGAACACAGTTCCGTGGTCCAGGCAAAGGCAAGCAAGGGACGGATGCCGCCGTCACGCGCAAGCCGGAAGTTGCCGACGATTTCGTGAGGAACTTCTTGATCCGGATGGGCATGACAAAAACAGTAGCTACATTCGAAGTGAGTCAAAGAAAACTTTCTTTTGTTCTCCACAGTGACTGTTTCTCCTGTTCTGTTTTCTAGACAGAATGGTACCAGATACGAGAGAAGAAACGAATTCTAGACAGCCAGATTGGACTCGTGCCTGATGAGTACGTGAGGAGCATGAAACAGGACGAAATCGTCACCAGTTTGCAGCACCAGCTCAAGCAGGCAAATCTTCTGGCACAGTATGAAACTCTGGCATTCTTATCATCGCTTTGTCTTCTTTGATTTTTCTTCTTTCCTGTGTTTCCTCTATTGCATCTTTGTATCTGGGCCTAAATTTGACAACTTTCAGACTGCAGATACCGCCATGAAATGCTCGAGAAGCTCCGAAGGGAGAGAAACGTCCACCGTATGCACCACCGGCGCATCGCCCAAGAGAAAAACAGGCTCATTGTCGACGTCAAGGTTGGAAAAAACGTAGTTTCTCAAACTTATCATCTTTTTCATTTCCTTCCAGAGGCTCAGGAAGCACTATGCACAGTACGAGCCGATCATCCGGGAGCTCAAGAAGAAATACGACACGTTAATGCGGACCAAATCCATGATAGCTTTGGAGCGAGACAGGCTTCAAGCGCTGGTAATTGCTTGTTTTTTTCATGCAAAATTCGGAGACTTTGAGAGGTTTTTCTTTGCTTTTGTTCTTGCAGCTTGCGGCTTCCGAATCTGGCTCCGAGTCATCCTATGGAACTGGCACTGTTTCGAGCAAGGCCAAGTCCGCCAAGGACTTGGCCGCAAGGAGCAGCAGCATGTCCGGCCAGATCTACCGAGCCGCCGACCCTCTCTCAATCCCTCGAGCCGTCTCGGCTATCTCGCAAGAGCCCACCATCGTCAAAACTTTCGTGCTCCAGAAGACTTTCAAAGGCCATACCATGCCGATAAGCAAGTAAGTCTCCTCAGATCCTTCTCTAATAGTTTTCAATTTTTCTAGCAACTCTTCTTTCTATTAGTTTTCCTCCTTCCAAGTTGAAGACTTACTGTATTGTATTGGTTTTTGCAGTGTTGTTCTTCATCCAAAGAAGCCAGTTGGGGTGACGGCGTCAGATGATTCGACCTGGCAAATGTGGGGTCTTCCCGCTGGTGATCTGATCATGACCGGAGATGGACACAAGAGCTGGGTGGCGGGTATCGATTTTCATCCAAAGTTGTGCCAAACTTTTCTTCTTACTTCTCGAGAATCAAGCCTCAAATCTAGCCTTCTTCTCTTTGCAGTGGGATGCAATTGTCTTCGTCATCTGGAGACTGCACAGTCAAAGTATGGAGCTTTGAAAAGGCCTGCTGCATACACACATTCTCGGATCACACGCAGGTTCTCAAAAATTCTCTCTCCCTGTTTTTTTTTTTTTATTGTTCTTCGCAAACTTTACGTGTTTGCTCAGGCTGTTTGGGGAGTTTCGTACCACAACAGCGGTGAAGTTCTCGCCAGTGCTTCCATGGACCACACCGCACGCATCTGGGACCTCGTCAGGCATGCAAAGATTGAAACTCTCTTTCCGTGCAAAGCTAGACTGACTCGTAATTTTTACTTTGTTTTTTCTTTGCCTTGGTCAGCATGAAGTGTAGAGGCACGCTCAGAGGTCACGTAGACTCGGTAAATGGCTGCATTTGGCAGCCTTACAACAGTATTCTTTGCACGGCTTCCAGCGACAAAACCGTCAGCTTGTGGGACGCGCGCTCCTCGCTCTGTGTCCAAACGTTTTACGGCCACCAAAGCTCTTGCAACCACGCAGCTTTCGACCCAAAGGTAACTCTTCCGAAGTTATAAGCTCTTTTCGATCGAGTAATCTCACTTCATGCACAGAAAAGCTATAACCCCGCATGATTCTTGAACCTCTTTGTCTTGAAACTTCCAGGGAGAGACGGTGGTGTCTGTCGATGCAAATGGGATCGTAAAGATCTGGGACATTCGCAAAGTTGCCGAGTACGCCACCATCGACGTTGGGCCTCATCCGGCAAACAAATGCGCGGTGGACAAGAGTGGCTACGTCGTCGCGATCGCAAGCAGCGACAGTACCATCAAATGGTAGCGTCCTCTTTCTCTTTTCCTCCGTGGTTTCTTTCTTCCTTCTCAGTGACTCTATACTATCTGGCAGCTTCCAAACTTACGGGGAGGTGGTTCCAATTCGAGAGTTTCAAGGGCACACCGACGCCGTCCAGGCAGTGGTGTTTGATCGAGCTGGGAAGTACATGGTCTCGGCTGGGAGTGATTGCACCTTTCGCATCTGGGGGCCATAGTGGACTTTTGCTGACTTTACTCATTGGCTTTCAAAAAGGGAATTTGACTATATAGTTGAATGAATGTCCTAAAAAGAAAGGTTGACAAGAACGACTTCCTCCATGCCAAACAACAAGCAAGGGTTTTCGGCAGCTTTCGAGATGGATAACTCAATCTTAGACGATCTCTCGCCTGAGATATACTCCATGGTCGTCTCAAGGATAAGAGATTATGATGCTGGAAAAATGGGCGACAAGACGATGAGAGTAGATGGGTGGCACAATTTTCTCCAGGGGACGGAGGTGGATGATCAGTTCATTGCGTTTGTTGTGGCGAGGGGCGATGTGGAAAGGATAGAGATGAATTGCGCTACAGTGTCGAGCTTTAAAGATCACGGAGGTCGAAGGGTAGAAGATTTCAAGACCTTGGATGATGATTTCATTGAGAGCCAGATCAAAGTTTGGGGTGTGTCAAAAAATCACTTGATCATGGACTACACAGAGCTTTTTGAAAGCACAAATGGGAAGCCAAAAATATTCCCATTTGTCCGCCATGCTCAAGGAATGATCTCTTGTAACCTTTGAGTAATCTCAAAGGTTATTTAAAAGGTGATTTAAGTTAGATTTATTTTCTTGAAGAATAAAACTATGCCAAAGATTAACTAATTTTTATGAGTAAAGGTTTTAACATGTTAATCAATTTTTATATTGTGCCTTTGCCCCAAATGTTTTGACAGCAGTAAGCTTTTCAGTGATTGCCCAAGACGGCTTGAGGGACTGAAAGAAGGCTGGCTCGGTAGACCCAAGTCCTTGGCAATGGAAACAGTTTTAGATCCATACAATGATTCAAAGCCACCATAAGCTGCAAGTAAATTGCATGAAAAAAACAAGCAAAGAAAGATTGAGGCTCCAAAACTAGATAATTTCTTCTTTTGCTTTCTGATGATGGGGAGATCACCACCATCACTCTTGGCACAGGCTCCATCGCCATAATCTATAATTAAAAAAAGGAAAAGTACACATGTGCTTTCAAAATAATCCATGATTAAGCTGATCTTGGTCTCCATTAAGTCCTCATCCAAAGTTTTGAAAACTTCAACCCATGATCTCTAAAGCTTGAAACTTTATTGCAATTCATCTCTGTTCTTTCCACATCGCCCCTCGTCACAACAAATGCAATGAAACGATCATCCACCTCCATCCCCTGCAGGAAATAGTCTCACCCCTCCACTCTCACCGTCTTGTCGCCCATCTCGCCCACCACCGACGACAGAGATTGTCCAATTTCCATAGCAGAAGCTGTGCAAAACTCTTGTTCGTTATTTGGTGCATCCATTCAACTATATAGTCAATTCCCTTTAGTCCACGAAAGTCAACAAAAGTCAAATGGCTATGGCCCCGGAGGCCATGTACTTCCCAGCTCGATCTAACACCACTGCCTGGATGGCATCCGTGTGCCCTTGAAACTCTCGAATTGGATCCACTTCTTTGGAAGTTGCCAGATCGTATAGAGTCACTGAGAAGGAAGAAAGCAACCAGGGAGGAGAGAAAGAGGACGCTCCCATTTGATGCTCAACGTCGATGGTGGCGTACTCGGAAACTTTGTGAAGATCTTTACGATCCCATTTGCATCTATAGACACCACCGTCCCTCCCCTGGAAGGTTCAAGACAAAGAGGTTCAAGAATCATGTGGGAGATTACTCGATCGGAAAGAGCTTATAACTTGGGAAGAGTTACCTTTGGGTCGAAAGCTGCGTGGTTGCAAGAGCTTTGGTGGCCGTAAGACGTTTGGACACAGAACGAGGAGCGCGCGTCCCACAAGCTGACTGTTTTGTCGCTGGAAGCCATGCAAGAATACTGTTGTAAGGCTGCCAAATGCAGCCATTTACCGTCTAGAAAATAAAAAACAACACGAGTCAGGCTAATCTGAATGGAAAGATACTTTCAATCTTGGCATGCCTGACGAGGTCCCAGATGCGTACGGTGTGATCCATGGAAGCACTGGCTAGAACTTCACCACTGTTATGGTACACACGTAAAGTTTGTGAAGAACAATAAAAAAGAGGGAGAGAGAATTTTGAGAACCTGTGTGTGATCCGAGAATGTGTGGATGCAGCAGGCCTTTTCAAAGCTCCAGACTTTGACTGTGCAGTCTCCAGACGATGAAGACATTTGCATCCCACTGCAAAGAGAAGAAGGCTAGATTTGAGGCTTGAGAAGTAAGAAGAAAAGTTTGGCACAACTTTGGATGAAAATCGATACCTGCCACCCTACTCTTGCGTCCATCTCCGGTCATGATCAGATCACCAGTGAGAAGACCCCACATTTGCCAGGTCGAATCATCTGAGGCTGTCACTGTAACTGGCTTCTTTGGATGAAGAATAACACTGCAAAAACCAATACAATACAGTAAGTCTTCAACTTGGAAGGAGGAAAACTAATAGAGAGAAGGGTTGCTAGAAAAATTGAAAATTAATAGAAAAGCTTTGCTCGAAGACCAGTATGAAGTGGGGGTGCGATAGCAGCTTTCCTTCCATAATGCATTTGGGAGGGAGATGGAGGCATAACGTATGGTTATGCCAAACTCCCACTCATGTAGCACAGGAGATCAAGAAGCAGGTGAGAATCTCGACTGGACAGAGCTCCTAGACTTGCTTTTGAGGGAATCTGGTGAAGCGACTGGGGCTGCTCTTGCAAGATCCAAGGTTCAGTGCATCATCATGGCCTCCATCCAAGAGGATCTTCAGCAAAACATGCTAGCAGCATGGGGATACCAAGAGGAGTGACCTGTTTGGTGGATGTTTAGAACATGGTGGAAGCAGACAAGGCTTTAGAGAAGGAGGCCAGATTTGTGAGTTAGAAATGGGCCTGCTCATCAAAAGAGGTGAAGATGCTTTGTGAAGCTATGTCCTACTGAAAGTTTGAAGATCACCGAGGAAAAAAGGAATTTGTAAAGGAAATGGCTATGAAAGAGATACAGAGGGTGGAGGAGGCTATGAACGTGGCACGGGCCACTCTGGATTGCCAGATAAGCAAGATCCTTTTGCAAGAGGAGAAGATTCTCAGGTTGGAAGCTCAACTCTAGAAATCCAAGGACTTGAGAGAGGAGAATGCCCTTCTGGCACAACAAATAGTTGAGTTGCCGTGGAAGACACAGAGAACAAGAAGAGGAAATGTTAGAAGCCGTTCATCATGAGGCTCGACCTCTTAGGGCTCAGGACTTCTCTGAATCTGAAGAAGTCCTTCTGGCAAACCATTAATGTCACAAATAGGGGTCAGAAGATAGTTTTGTGGTTGAAATATTGGTGCTTTAAAATACCTAAGGCATTTCAGTATTTTTAAAAATAGTTGTATGGTTCATGTCATTTTTTGAACTAGCTATAAATTTGAGAAGTTAAACTAGCCTCACAGTAAAGGAGTCCAAGCAATACAGCTATGGAGAAAATATATACAAACAATAACACCAATGTTACAATAAATGGCTAAAATAAAACAAGTAATATAGCTTTCTTACACAATAATATGGTCATGAAAACAAGAGAATGAGAATAGAGCAAACAATTTAAATCATATAATAATATAGCTATAAAACTCAATTCCTCTTAAATGTTATCTAAGTCATATCCAAAACTCGAAAACACTTTATTCATCATTCAATTTTCCCCATGTAGCTTTATCTTTGGAATAGCCATTCCACTAAACCAACAATTCTTAATTTTTCTTATAGCTTGTCTTCACCAATCTTTAGGGTGATGGAATGATCTACAATATCACTAGTGTGCAAACACTTTTTAAGCTTATTCACATATAATGTTGAATGAATCTTCAAATTAACTAATAAGTCTAAAATGTAAGCAAAATCTCCCACGCGCTACAAAATTGTCCAAGGCCCATAATACTATAAAAACAACTTAGCATTGCCACTTCTTTTTAAAGACTGTTGTGTATCCAACAATTTCAGGAAAACTTTTATTATCAACTTTGTACTCTTGATGACGATGATGCTCATCAATAAATCTTTTATCTCTTTTTTGAGTTTGTCTCATATTCAGCTTTACTAACTCAAGCTTATTTTGCATATCCTTTATGAAATCACAAACATGGGCACTCGAACCAAAGATAAACTCAAATTCATAAGAGACTTAAGATCATATCCATATATCACCATGAATAGAGAGATGTTAATAGTCAATTGATGAATACTATTGTGAGCAAATTGGAGCAAAGGCAAATATTTTTCCCATACTATGTATATAGTTTTTACACTTTATCCTATAATGATTTACTAATAGAGTGGAACCTTAACCCTTAGACACATAGATTAAGGGTAATGGAATGAAATTTAAGTTTCAAAGCCTTAAGCCATTGAACAAAAGGATAGAGCCAAATTCTCAAGTATATAGTGAAAGAGCAAATGAACCAAAACACAAAATGACTCTTAAATGAATAGCCTAAAGAGCAAAATGACAAGAACATAGAGTGATATAAGAACAATTCTAAAGCATCTAGTATGTAAATGCTAGAAGCAACACACAAAACAAAGTTAAATGAAGTTTGGCACTATTTTGGACAAGGATATAAGTATTCCACTAGCTAGCATGGTATAAAGTTTGTAGAATAAAGAAGGCATGCAAGTGAGATGTTAAACTATATTTTAAGTTGGTTAGCAATGCTCAACCTTAGAGGAATACATGTTTTGGGCTTTCACCCCAGTGTAAGGAACTAGTTCCCCGAGGTGTCATAAGATAAAGGATCCTTGAAACCATGACCGGAATGATAAAGAGTTCACCGAATGAAACTGAATTTGAGATCGAGTTTGAGACTAAGTCCAAGATTGAGTTTGAGACCGAGTTTGAGATCGAGTTAGAAACCAACTCCAAGTCTGAGATCCAAGATTGGGTCCAAGATTGGCTCCAAGATTGAGTTCGAAACCAAATCCGAGGTCGGGTTTTAAATCAAGTCCAAGATAAAGTCCGAGATTGAGTCCAAAACCGAGTCCGAATAATAATATAGGTCATCATGGGGTGAAAGCCCTAAACAATTGTTGCTAAAGGGGTTCCAAAAGTATAGGAGGCATAGTGAGGATTAGAAACCAATTTTGAAGGAAC